CATGAAGCGGTGCTGGATATTATCAAAAGCTTTTTATGTATCAATTGGGAGAATCATATGGTCTTTGTTTTTTAATTTGTTTATGTGATTAATTATATTTATTGATTTACATATGTTGAACCAGCCTTGGGACCCTGGGAAAAACCTACTTGGTTGTGGTGTATAATTTTTTTGATCTGTTGCTGGATTCAGTTTGTTAGGATCTTGTTGAATATTTTCTCATCAATATTCATTAGTGATATTGGTCTGTAATTTTCTTTTCTTGTTGGGTCTTTTCCTGGTTTGGAGATCAAAGTGAATTTTGTTTCATAGAATGTGTTGTGTAATGTTTCTTCTTTTCTATTTTTGGAAAAGGTTAAGTAATATAGCTACTAGTTCCTCTTTAAAGGTTTGGTAGAATTCTGATGTGACATCATCTGGTCCTGGGCTTTTCTTTTTAGAGAGATTTTGTATAGGTGATGCTATTTCAGAACTTGATATAGGCCTGTTCAACATTTCCACTTCATTCTGGCTAAGTCTTCAGAGGTGGCGTCCTTCCAAGTATTGGTCAATTTCCTTCAGATTTTCATATTTCTGCAAATAAAGTTTCTTGTAACATTTCTTAAATGATTTTTCGAATTTCTAAGGGGTCTGTTGTTATTTCATCTTTACCAGTTCTGATTGATTAATTAGAGATTTTACTCTTTTTTTCCTGGTTAAGTTGGCCAAAGCTTTATCTACTTTATTGACCTTCTCAAAAAACCAACTTTTTGGTTTATTAATCTGTTCTATCATCCTTTTGTTTTAAATTTCATTTAACTCTGCTCTAATTTTGGTTATTTCTTTTCTTCTGCTGGATTTAAGATTGGAATGTTCTTCCTTTTCCAGTTGCTTGAGGTGTCCCATTAAGTTGTTAACTTCCTTTCTTTCCATTCTCTTGAGAAAGGCTTGCAGTGCTATAAATTTCTCTCCTAGGACTGCCTTAGTGGTATCCCAGAGGTTATGATAATTCATGCCTTCATTATTATTATTTTATTCCAGAAATTTGCTAATTTCCTTCTTGATCTCATCTCTGACCCACCTATCAGTCAGCATAAGGTTATTTAGCTTCCATGTTTTTGCATGAGTAACATTCCTGTTGTTACTGAGTTCAAATTTTATTCTGTGATAGTCCAAGAAGATGCAAGGAAAATTTTCTATTCTTTTAAATTTTCTGAGGTTAGATTTGTGACCTAAAATGTGATAGATTTTCTCATAAGCCCAGAAAAATGTGTATTCAGTTTTGTTAGGATGAAATGTTCTGTAGATGTTTGTTAATCCAAATGTTGGATGGTTAAATTTAAATCTAAAATTTCTTTGCTCAGCTTCTTATTTGAGGATCTATCCAATGCTGCCAAAGGAGTGTTGAAGTCTCCAATTATGATGGTGCTGGAAGAAATAAAGTTGCTCATGCCTTTTAGAGTGTCTCTTATAAATTGAGGTGCATTCTGGTTGAGTCCATAAATATTAATAATTGAAATCTCATCATCATATTGAGTATTAACCT